TTGAAAAAAAATATCAAAATCTTTACGACAAATCTTGATTCACCAGCCTGTAAATTCAATCAATCAAATTTTTAGTTTGACCCATGTTGAAAAAAGTCAAAATCTTTAAGAAATAACAAATCTTGATTCATCTGAATGCAAATTCAAACACATTTTATTTGATCCATGTGCATAAAGTCGATATCAGTTCAATCAAAAACAAGAAACTGACCTGCAAATCCAAATTCAGGGGCATTTCTGTCTCTTCCATTTTTGCTGCAAGAGATAAGCAGGTCACAGCAAGCAATTGCATCATCCAAGCTTTGTCCTTCTGTTTTTCAAACATTTAATTGTAAAAAATGAAGAAAATTAAATTGGAATAGAAATTTAAAGTGTAAAATAATTAATTATCATATAACTAATAACTTACAGGTAATTCATAGACAGCAAGAAATCTGTCCAAATAGTTTACAGATAAATATGCACACAATGGTCCGAAATTAAATTGAGCATGGACCTGTGTCAAAATACCATATAAACAACAGAATCCATTAAATCATCAAGAAAAAAAATGGTAATTTCTGTTAAACTGATTCCAAAAAATCAATCAAAGCAAGAACAAATCAAACCCAAATCAGGAAAAACCTAAAAATTCGATGAACAAACCTTTGAAATCCAATCAACAGCCTGTTGTCTTGCAACCAAAAACAAGTTCTCATTCTTCAATTTATTCAAATAATCCACAAAACCCACAAATTGTTGAGATTCCTTTTCGATCAACAAAGTCAAACATTCATCATTTTGCAAAGGCAAATCAAGAACAGAGTACTCTGTTTCAAGATTCTTAACCAAATTGTGGTTTTGAGTTTGATTAATGTTTCGATCAATGCCATCATTCGAGAATGAATCCCCAAAACCCTTGAAATCATCACCATCATTATCATTGTAACAAATACTATCATTATCTTCTGCACACAGTAAACTTGACATCGCACAATCAAGACTGGGTGCCATTTGAAAACCCTAGAAGAAGAAGAAGAAGAACAAAAACACGAAACGAAAGCAGAAAACTTCACTGGGATTTTGGTAAAAACAATCAAAGAATGAATGCAGATCAAAACTGGGATTTGTTGATTTTGTTAAAAAGATTGAAGATTGAAATAGATGAAACACACAGTCTTTGCTTTGTGTTTCTCTCTGTAGAAGCAGAGTATGAGAGATGTATGAATAGCAAAGAGTGCGGCTTATGTAGAGGAGAAAGGGATTTGGTTTTAGGGCATAKAGAGTGAGAGTGAGAGTGAGAGAGATACGTATTTAGTGTGTGTATATATATGCATTGTCAAAATTAATATTTATTTATTTATTTATTTTTTAATAATTTTTGTTAAGAAATTAATAAATTTTAATTAATTGGTTTATTTGGAGTAGGGGTAATTTTCCAATTATGTAATTGGAATAATGTAAAAATAGAGGGTAAAAATTGGATTTTTTTTATCGCGGTAAAATAAACGTGGGAACTTGTTTTTAAATATTTTGCCGAGAATCATATAATGTTGTTTATTTTATAACAATGCTGAAGTGATGACATTTTAGTTTCGATTGTTGTAAAACAACGCGGGAAACTCATTTTTTAAATCTTCTTGTCGGAGATCAGATAATGTCATTTAGTTCAAAATGATGCTAAAGTCGTGACATTCTAGTTTCGATATATGTTTTGTTTGTCGGCTACTGCTTACATTAGGTTACAAGATAAATTTATGTGTTTTTATAACTGATGAAGAATATACTTAGTATTTTTTCAAACATTTAAATCGACGCAATTAAGACAACGGTATTTTGATTTTTCTAACTCTGTTTCCGTGTCGTTTCATTTACTCAATCTGTAAATGCTTATATTGGTTACAGATTTGCTAGGTTACCGTTCTTTGCAAATTATGCAATTATTAAGAAAATTACCAAGTATGCACTAAATTTAGAATGCAACAAGTTATATGCTATAAATATAATCAGTTCACAGGTTTAAAAGATTGACGACAAATTTTATGAAAAGTAATTTGTTATTTAGATTTCGATTCATATTTTTTTAAACTTTTTATTATTAAAGTTATCGACATTAAATTGATTTGATCAATGCAAATATAGTAACTTGTATATGTACAAAAATTCCAAGTGGAAAGGTTACATATGGAGAATGAAAAGAAAATTAACTTGAAGCATGCAGAAATGACAAGATTAAAAAGATGAGGGGGTAAAAGGTAAATAAAACATTTTGTAGGGGGAAGACACTTTTTGTCTTTTTCTTTTAGGGTGCTGACACGTGGACAGTCTTTTTAACAAATAATGACCTGGCACTCATTACTTATTGATTTTAGAGTTTCGAGTAATTTCTTAACGGTTATTATTATTTTTATAAGTTTTTCAAGTGCCACTATAAGAAATTATATTTCAGTTAAAATAATTTAACTGAACTAAATTTATTAATTTTATAAATAAAAAGAAATAAATTGATAAAATAAAATATTTCGTTTTAATATCTATAATTAATATTAGGGGGCTGTAATCGTTCAATCCGTCTAACCTAACCCTAACCCTAACCCTAACCCGCTAACAACTCGGTTAAACTTAACCCGTCAAACCAGACCACTCAACTAGGTTGAGTTTATGCTTGTACTTTTTTAGCTATATGTATAAGTTATTAAAAACAATTCACCATCAAATAATGATAATAAATAATCTAATAGAAAAAAAATTATTGGAATCGTTTTTCTAGCAACAGCAAATAAATGTGCAGAATAATATGAATGATGTTGATAAATAATTGGTTGACGAATCTATAAATCCAAAGATTCCCTCATTTGATGTTGTTTTTAGTTGGAAAGAACATGTTAATAGTTGTAACACTTCATTATAACAACATTAGGTTCATGATACTTTATAGGACCAACAAAAAAGGGTCACATCTAAAACTATTACGTTATGTTTGTAGGACGCTTTTTGGTGTCGTAACAAGGTTTTGACGTTTTTAAGATAAAATGTCGTATTAGTTATTTTATACGACATTATCTGAAATAGTGTGATATGAATACAAGTGTCCAACAAAAAGATGAGTTTATAGAACATTTATCAAAATTACGGAAATGCACAAAAACGTCTAATAAATCTATTGTAACATTTTTTTGATAGGATGATTTATAATCTGGTCTTATAAAAATATGTCTTGTAACATATTTTATTCGTCAAATATAAGTAACTACTAACCTGCTAACTCAACTCATAAGGGTTGAGTTATATAAATACCGTAAACTAGGGTGCTCAAAAATCCGATCAACCTGATCAACCCAATGCGAAATACTCAACCCGAAGCAACCAGATGTCTAATCGAGTTGTAAAATTTTTAAACCGTAGGTATTAGGTTGATATTGGGTTACTATTATTTGAATCTAACTCAATCCGATGAACCCGATATCCTTTATTTCTTGGATTTAATATGATTGTTGAGTTTATATTAATATATATATTAGACAGTTACACTATCACCCACGCTCTTCATGTATACATATTTTCGATCTATTCTCCATCTCTATACAACTCATTCATATATATGTTCAGTAACTATAAAAATATATATGTAAATTGAGAAAATTAATTGAATGTGATATATGTAAGAAGTATGGATAAGTTGTATCAAATGGTTGATAATGAAAAAAATTATGAGTAGAGAAATAACATATTTAAGGTTAGAAAAATATTTAAATGTATCAAAGTATCAACCTAGCCAACCCGATCAACCTGTACGGTTTGGATTGGATTGGGTTGAGTTGTATTTTGGTTTATGTTGGGTTGAGTTAAGATTTTTTTCAAACCGTAAGCATGTGGTTGGGTTGTTCAAATGTATTCAACCCGATCAAACTAACCTATGAACACCCTACTATAAACCCCTGCCTAATCTACAACGGTTTGGTTGGGTTAGTTATACTTTTGAATGAACTGAGTTAGATTGATATTTTTGTAAATCGTTTTAATTTGGTTGAGTTGTATAAATGATGTAAACCACCTAACCTAATATATGCACCCTACTATATATTTATAACAAGACGAAACATTAAACATTCGTTATTTATTATTATAATGTTAAAAGGTTAAAGTAAAATACAGAATAAATATTATATTAATTATTATTTTCTTTTTCTAAAACGTTGCAGAGAATCTTTTCAACCAAATTTAATTCCGGTTGATTATTCATTGAGATATATATATATATATATATATATATATATATATATATATATATATACTAATTAGTATTAGTTCAAATGCTAACCTATTTTTTTTTGTTAACTATGCTAACCAACATCAACCAATCATGTTCCATCTTTTAGTTAGGTTCAAATGTAACTCGCATATTAAGTATAAGGGTATTTAGGTAATTTGTTATTTTATGTAACTCCCCAATATTTTAATTGGGAGTTACAAATCTTAAAATATCACTAATTGATCTTCATGTAATAATGACATGAAGTTTTATTACATGAAGATTCACATTTGTTCATCTTACTGATTTTTACATTTTATTCTTCCAACAATGGTTTTGATATTGTAAATTTCAAAAAAGTCTATTTTGTAAAGATTCTGTTATAGTCCGAGTAATATGGATAATCATAGAGTAAAATAGATCGACAACAATGAGAATGAAAAAGCCAAAAACGTCTACGAATACATTCGGAATTCGAATTCCGAAAGTGAAGAAAATGATCAAACCGTTCACGCACATGTTCACTCAAACGTCGACATATGTGTTCACTCGTGCACATATGTGTTCACTCGTGCACATATGTGTTCAATTGGTTCACACAATATGTCCATTTGGTTCACACACATGTTTCAATTGTTCATTAGGTTCACACATTGTTTTGATGAAGATTAT